GGATGCAGTGACTGCATGGGCTGGTGTTCTATGGAAAAGGTCTGGGCAGAAAAGCAACGTTTTTTGCACAGTTATTCTGGAGAGAGTATTGACAAGCACGAGGCAAGCCCTGCTGGGTGCCCGATTGATGCAACTAAAATCAATCATCCACGGGCTGGAGGCATGTGCCCTTCTAAAAGGAAATGAGTATCAGTGGCACAAGCTTGAAACGAGTGAAAAATGAATCCAAATCTTAGTCAAATGAAACTGTAAGAGGTCCAGAACCAGAAAAGATCCTATTCTATTTTTTTTTTTCCTTCATCCTGAAGTTAACCAGATGGAATTTTTTTTCCCCCCAGTACCAAGCTATTCACACACTTGGAATGATTTGCTTTGGGATGGAAGATTTTTTTTTTAATTGTAAAAATGAGACAAAATAGCGTCCCCCCCCCAAATCTAGTGTTTAGGTAATTTTTTTCTTTTTTCCTTCCCTTCTTTCTCCTCCTGCCCTTCCCTCTTCTTCTCCTTTCTCTCTTCTCTTCTGCTTCAGATGGTATGTTTGTGACGGTGTTTAGAATATACTGTGGACAAGGTAATGATGGAGCAGTTTCACACACACAGCATATCGGAGATGTGTATTTGAAACAACGAACATAAAACATGCAACTTCCTCTCACAGAGTCCTACATGAAAACAATGTGTTGTAAAACCAGAGATCAGAATTTCAAAACAGAATAAATGAGAATAAGTAAATGGAAAGGAACGATGAACGGCAAAGGAGCCACATAAAAAGGCCACTGATGGTGCATCAGGAATCTCTCTGGGCTGTGCTTACTACCCTGAGTGTTCATTCTTCATCTGTGTATTTGGATAACCACTGTACCTATTTCACAGGGATTTTGAGAGAATTAAATGAGATAGTATATGCCAAGCTCTTGGCATCGAGACTGGGAAATAAGCCTTCAAAATAAATGTGAGGCACTGTGATTATCATGAATATCATTCAAGGATTAATAAGATTATATATATAAATCCTTTCCACAGAAAAACATCCTCAATAAAGTAGGATTTTTATTGTCATTATTTTTTTCTTTTATTATGTTATGTTAATCACTATACATTACATCATTAGTTTTTGATGCAGTGTTCCATGATTCATTGTTTGTGCATAACACCCAGTGCTCCATGCAGAACATGCCCTCTTTAATACCCATCGCCAGGCTAACCCATCCCCCCACCCTCCTCCCCTCTAGAACCCTCAGTTTGTTTCTCAGAGTCCACAGTCTCTCATGGTTTGTCTCCCCCTCTGATTACCCCCCCTTCATTTTTCCCTTCTTACTATCTTTTTTTTAACATATAATGTATTGTTTCAGAAGTACAGATCTGTGATTCAACAGTCTTACAGAATTCACAGCGCTCACCGTAGCACATACCCTCCCCAATGTCTATCACCCAGCCACCCCATCCCTCCCACCCCCCACCACTCCAGCAACCCTCAGTTTGTTTCCTGAGATTAAGAATTCCTCATATCAGTGAGATCATATGACATCATCATTATTTTTATTTCATTTCTTTATTTTATAGGTTGTTTCTGTCTCTTTGCTTGCCTCCTCCAGACTGGACTGTTGCTTTACTGGGCAGTCTCTTCTGTTCTTGATTCAGATTTTGCCCCATCATGCTAGCTTTTGGATTTCCTAAGATTTTTGCTCTCTATAATGCACAGGTCAATCATGCCCCACTTGTATGGACAATGAAATATAAGTAGAATAGCCCAAAGTCAGGCTCCAAGTGCAGCTTGGTTGGTGACGGTGCAAAATCACTAACTAGAGAAAGGCTAACAATTCCCATGACTCCTGTCGAAAGTCATAGTAGACTATTATGAAGATTTTATTAATGGCCAAAAAGAGGTCACATTTTTTATTTAAATTCAGGATCCTGAAACAGGCATAACCAATTCTTATCCATAAAGATATGTCATAATGTTTGGGTAAAGATGGCTTATATCCATAGCAACAGAGCGAACTTTGAGCCAAATACTGGGAAAAGTATTTCCAGACTGACACAGATGTTCAATTTGCATACTAAGTCTCTGAAAACCTGTTGATGGGCAGCTTCGTGGACAATGCATTCTGCACAAAGAGTTGGTTTACTGGATCCTTATCCTTGTTTAAAAAAAAAAAAAGCCTCTGGATTGTGTCCTCTATGAGTTCTGGGTCTGCAAAGGGTGATTATACCACTATGCAGGGTTGAAACGGTATATTTCAGTAATGGGCTTTCGATACGTCACAGAAAGGGAATAGATTTTTAAGTGAAACGTGCATACACCCGACACTCATTTCAGCAGGAGAATGCAAAGCCTGAGTCCCCCGGCGCCTTCATACAGCCGTGTGGTCTTCTTAGCTTCTCTAGCACTGGGTTCTTGCGGACCAACCAGATATTCTTTCTTTTATAGGCACTGTCTACAAGACAACCAGCTCCTCAAAACCAGGGCCTGATGGAGGTCTTGCTCTTTGAATGCATTCTGCAGCCTGGCACAAAAGGAAGGGCACAGAACATGGGCTTCAAAGCCAGCCAGCCACCTATGCTTCCACCAACTTTGAAAGAGAACTTGAGGCAGTAAGTATAAAACAGCCACATACTAAGAAATGGAAACAATAGGGATTTGCATCCAGAGCCAGCCTTGGATCTGATCGGTTATCATTTGGTTGAACATTTGGAAGAGCTGGTATGGGAATGAGACCACAAACAGACGATGTGAGATTGGCTAACTGAGCCTAGGTCTCCCCTTCTCTTGCCTTCCACATGCAATCCTTCCAAGGCTTGCCGATCTCCTGACCTCAGTTGTCAGTTATCACTGCCCTTGTCCTCATTCAAGCCCCCATGGCTTTCTGTCTGTGGACTAACGGACTAAAACTGGTCTCCCCACCTTCAGCCGTGTGCCTTCAGGCCTTCTTCCTCATGGCTGCTAGCCAGAGTTTGTACAACTGAGATCTGAACATGTGCATCCACTCTTCCAACCTTGCACTGCTTCCCCTTGGTCTACCAGACAGAGATCAGTTCCTTAGCATGTTCTCCAGGGACTTCTTATGATGTGGTCCCTACCCCCTTTTCTAACTTTTATTGTCAGTTATTCTTCTAAGAACAGTTTATGCCACAGCTGAGATGCTGGACTATGTGCCATCACCTCAAATATGCCTTGTTATTTGTCACTCCCATATCTTTGTTCCTATGCCAGTTCTCCTGCCTAGAGGAGTATCTCTACCCTTCTTTGCCTGGTTGGTCTCTATTTACCTTTTAAGACTCAACATAACTGCTTTCTCCCCTGCAAAATGTTTTTTTAACCTAGCTTAATGCCAGCTCTGTGCTTTGTCCCTCTGGTACAGTACTCATCTCACTTCTATGGGTCCTCTATCTTCCCTATTAGACAACCCCATGAATTCATCAAATTTTTATCAACTACCTCCTATGAACCAGGCACTGAGCTGGATGCAAAAAAAAGTAGGATATGGCCCTTACCTTTAAGGAGCTCACAGATTTCTGGAAATGGCAAATTAGTAAACCAATAAGAATATAGAATATTATAAGTAGAGTTGTGTCTTAAAGGACAAGTAAAATTATCTAAGTGATAAAGAGCTCTCTGAGCAGGGAAAGAAACACATCCAAAGGCATAGAAGAGTAGAATAACATAAGTCATGGGGCGCCTGGGTGGCTCAGTCGTTAAGCGTCTGCCTTCAGCTCAGGTCATGATCCCAGGGTCCTGGGATCGAGTCCTGCATCGGGCTCCCTGCTCCGCAGGAAGCCTGCTTCTCCCTCTCCCACTCCGCCTGCTTGTGTTCCTGCTCTTGCTATCTCTCTCTCTGTCGAATAAATAAAATCTTTAAAAAAAAAATCAATATTTTAAAAAAAAAGAATAACATAAGTCATGGGGAAGCTGTGGGTAGGGTAATCTAGCCTCAGTGACAAGTACATGTGTGGGACTGAGGGGATGGACCATGAGAGGTATGACGTGCCCAGAAAACTATCTGAATGATGTCCTCAAGGCTATGGAGAACCACTAAAGGATTTCAGCTGGTGACTTACATGGTCCTTTTTACAAAGGAGAATATCACTTTCACTGCCATGGGAAAAAAAAGGATTTTTGTGTGAAAGATAGGTGACAAGACGGGTTAGTCATCATTGCCTGGACCAACATTTATTCCTTTGGCAAATGCATGCTGCCTATGCACCATATGTTGACAAAGCTAAGTTTTCTGATTTAGGAACCTGCAAATCTTCCAGATCCTGGGTATATGGGTAGTGTGACAAAATGGGCTGGTCAAGGCTATAAAAACATTTGGAAAACAGTGTGGAGATGCCTCAGAAAATTAAAAATAGAGCTACCGTATGACCCAGCAATTGCACTCCTGGGTATTTACCCCAAAAACACAGATGTAGTGAAAAGAAGGGCCATATGCACCCCAATGTTCATAGCAGCAATGTCCGCAATAGCCAAACTGTGGAAAGAGCCGAGATGCCTTTCAACGGATGAATGGATAAAGAAGATGTGGTCCATATATACAATGGAATATTACTCAGCCATCAGAAAGGATGAATACCCAACTTTTGCATCAACACGGATGGGACTGGAGGAGATTATGCTAAGTGAAATAAGTCAAGCAGAGAAAGTCAATTATCACATGATTTCACTTACTTGTGGAACATAAAGAATAGCATGGAGGACATTAGGAGAAGGAAGGGAAAGATGGGGGCGGAAATCAGAGGGGGAGATGAACCATGAGAGACGATGGACTCTGAGAAACAAACTGAGGGTTCTAGAGGGGAGGGGGTGGGGGGATGGGTTAGCCTGGTGATGGGTATTAAGGAGGGCACATACTGCATGGAGCACTGGGTGTTATACGAAAACAATGAATCGTGGAACACTACATCAAAAACTAATGATGTACTGTATGGCGACTAATGTAACATAATAAAATTAAATTAAAAAAAAAATTCAGACCCATATTGAGAAAGTGTCAACTTACCAGTTTTCCAGTAACGCTCTGACCACCTTCATTCAGCCAGAACCCAGGGACCATGGCTGAGAAATAAGGGCCCCAGACACCTGGTACAAAAATTGGGTCTTTGCTGATCTGAAAGGAAAGAGACAATATAGATGAAAATAAGTGATGCTCAGGGCTAGAAGAAGCCTTAACCTCCTCCCATCCGGTTTCTATGACCGTGAAATTCAACTTTTCATTAAATAGTTTCTTTGGTAAGAAAGTCATTCCTTCCAAAGGAAGGCATGGCTTCATCTTTGGAGGCCTTCTTGATAAATTCATTTAGATGTCAGGGTAGCAAAAGAGATCATTTTGGAAAGAAACTAATGAGACATTTCCTTGCTGACTCCCTCTCTGTGGTAGGCTCATTGCAAAAATGGTCCCCATTCTCCCCCCTCCGTGGATCCAACCCCTTTGCAAGGCGACTCTGCAGCTCCTCTCATTGACAGGTGGGAGTCCCCACCCCTTGAATCTGGGTCAGCTTTGTGACTTGTTTTGGTGAACAGAATGAGATGGAAGTGACACTGTGCCGGTTTTCCAGGCTTAGGCCTCAAGAGGACTGTGTGCTTCTATTCTTTCCCTTGGTTCTCTACCTTTGCCAGAAGAGCCCAGAGTAACCTGCTGGATGGAAGGACAAGCAACAGAGCTGAGTCAGCCCAAATGTAGCAAGTGACATCTCACATATAAGAGACAGACCAAACAAGATCAGCAAATCATCCTAGTCAACCAACACTAACAAGCCCAGATCACCAACTCACCCTACTAACTGGCAGACCTGTAAACAAAAATACATGTCTTGTTTTACCTCACTAAGATTGTGTGTTTGTTACCAAGCATTTCTGTGGTAGATAACTGATACATCCCCTTCCTTCTACAAACACTTACTAGTCACCGCTATTAGCATGCCATCTCCCTCTCTTGGGTGCTGGAGATAAAGAGATGAATCAGACAAAGTTTCTGTCTTCAAGCAGCTACTCATCTAGAGGGGAGCTTTACAAGTAAATAGACAAATAGGATACAGTGTGGTCCACAGGATGATAAAGAGAAAATGCAGAATGTTATGGAGGGACAGAGGGGGCAAGGCATGAATGGTCTGAGAGAACAGGATATAGATGTAGGATTGAGCCAGGCATGCTAGGTCAAGGGAATGGCTTGAACAAAGCCTGTAGGAGAGGGAGAGGTGCTCTTAGGATTTAAGACACTATGTTCCACAGAAGTCCTTTCAGGTCTTAGGAGAATATACCAAAACATGAGCCAGGACAGACAAGGAAGGACCATGTGTTCACTCATCTGGAATGGCACATGCTTCTCATCCATCTAGTAGGGATGCATGCTGAAGTCATATTTCTGGTTGTGGAGAGGTGTAGTTAGAGGGTGGGGAGGAAAAGGGAGTGAAGCATACCAGGTCTACTCCCACATGTCTTCTGGACAGGTAGCAAATCTACTCATTCATTTATCCTACAAATATTTATTCAGTCCTTATTATATACTTGGTACTATGTCACATCCTGGGGATACAGAATTGAACTGAATATTCATGATTTCTACCCTCATGAAATTTGTAGCCCAGCATTTTAGCACAGGAACAAGCTTTCTTTAAAGGTCTTGACCCGCGCTATTCCAGTTCCCTTTTCACTAAACTAGTGAGTCCTCAAATCAGTGGGATTTCCAACCTTCAAATATGAAGAAAGTGAGGGAACTACACAACATTGTCAACTTTAAATTTTGTGAAATAAAGATAATCTATAAAAAGGGACATTTAGCACCTAAAATAGGAATAATGTCAGGGAAAAAGGAAAGACTTTTACAAGAAAAGACAATTTGGCTTACAATGACATATTCACTCATTTCCTTATTGGTTTAACAGATGTTTCCTGAACTCCCTATGTGGTATAAGCCTGTGCCAGGCACTGGCAACGAATGTGAAATAAAACAGCATGGTCCCTTCCCTCATGAAGTATTCTGTCTTGAGATGGGGTCAGATGGGAGTGGCTAATCCTTCAAGTTTGGCCAGGAATCTCCTAGGTTTCGCAGTCAAGATCTTGTGTCCTAGAAAACCCTTCAGTCCTGGGCAAATGGGACAAAGCACTGGGCACCCTCAGATAGATATTAGTTATATCATTGCACAGATGTGTAATTATAAACTGTGATAAATAAATGAATGAAAATCAAAGGTACTATAAGGGCAAATAAGTGAGGTGCCCAATTTAGTCTAGGGGTCTCAGAAGGCTTTTTTCAGGAGGCAATATTTGAATTAAGATGTAAACCACACACAGAAGTCACTCAGTAGGTGTGAGGGCATGTGTGTGTGTAAGTGTGTGTTTGTGTATGTGTGTATGATATGGAGACGGTTCCCACCAGAAGGAGCACACACTAAATGGTCTTCGTTTTCGTCACTTTGTCTTTGCCCATGAAAATTTATCACATGCCAGGCCTAGACACTACTCATCCCAGAGTGGCTTTGGGGTGAATAAGAAAGCTCATGTTCACAACCACTTAGGACCCAGTGTTTGGGCAGGTACATGGATAACTGCCAAAGTCAAGTCATCTCTTATGCCCTGCACCCCTTCCCTTCCAGAACTCTTAGCCCCGTTTCAAAGATTAGTCTCAGTGAGCTTGTTATATAAGACATACACAGTCACACAGTAACCACCCAAGGTAGGATTTGAACCCAGGCAGATGTTGGACTCAAATCATATGGCACGTTTTATTCTTAACTTTTGATACATAAATTGCTTTGGAAGGTTATGCATCAGCCCCCACCTCCAGCCCATCTCACAATTTATTTAAACTTCTTCCGAGTCAGCTGTGGCAGAGCTTCACTGGAAGATGAGGGTCTGCTGCTCAGAAATGTCAGATGAAGGCTTTGCCTGGCTCTGGCCAGGGAGAGAGTTTTGAGCTGATTCCTGTTTGTGCTCACTCGTTTGAAATGGCACATGCTTCTCATCAGACATCAGAGTAAAGAAAGGAAACCAACACACAGAAATATGTTTCCCAGAGCATTTCCAATCACTTCTAAACCCGGTGCTCTTAGAGAAAACAAGTAATAGTTTATTTTGACAAAGAGAGAGAGAGAGAGGCACATCTGTATGTTTCTGTGTGCTTTACATCTTTGCAATAAACCTAAATATTTAAAGGTATTTTTGTGAAAGCTCTTTCCCATGCTGATGGCTATCTTGGCCTGGAGGCTGCTCTGTTACCCAAAGAAGGGAGTTCTTTTTATTCCATTGATAACAATTGTCTGTACAGGACGTTGATTTCTCGTCATGGTGGTGCTGTTGGCAATAGTCAAGATTGACTGGGTACTTACTAAAGGCCTTATTCCAAGCATATTATAGGAATTAAACCACGTAACCCTCATAAAAACCCTGAGGGAAGATTCCACCACTATTCCTATTATATAGATGTATAAACTAAAGCAGAGAGAGTTTAATTCCATGTCCAAGGTTATAAAAATGCAAAGCAGCCAGGCACCACACTCTGCAGGTTCTAAATTTGTCTCTGCCAAAGTATGGTCTTATTTTTAGGCTACCACTGCTTCTTTGAATCCTTCTTTGGCTCCCAAGGGCAGAAAGCAAGGGCCATCACAGCCAGCGCAGACTCATTCAAATGGAACAAACCTTCTGGCCCTGATAACAAGTTAGGGAATCTGCATTTCTAAAAAGCTTTTGGAAAATTTTCCCCTATAGGCTTGTGAGGAGCGGACAGAGTTGAGTGTGGGTTGAGTCAGAGACCTATCTCTTTCGGCCTGCGGGATTCCAGCCAGGTGATCTCACACAAGCTCATCTTTCTGGGCCTCAGTTCCCTCAGTTCAAAACGGGGAGGATCAATACGAATGTTGGGGGACTTTGGTGAGGATGGAATAAGCCGCCAACTACAAACAGCTTATTATATGTTCAACACCAAACACGCGTTGGTTCTCCTTGAAATGAAGCTTGTGGTGGAACAGTCAGGGGACAGGACTGAACGACCACAGCCAAAAGTAATTACGACTCGGTAAGAAGGTCTCTAGATTTGCCCGTGGTCTAATTTAGTCAGTATTCTTAACAATGAAGTAGACCATGATACAGAAGTAAAACTTATCGTATTTTCAGACAGTATAAACGTGGGAGGATATCATGCTCCATATGATGGAGCATGTCCAAATCAAGATTCAAAATTACTTCCAAGAGCTAGAACATTAAGCAAAATACAAGAAACTCGTTAACATTTGTTGAATCGTATGGTTAAACCTTCATACTTAAAAGGTACTGGAAATATTCTCTTCCATAATACTCCTTCTCACGGGTGGTGGCACAAGAGGATTTAAATTGGTAAGGTTTAAACATCATGTAGACATGTGCTATAGTCTTTAATTATGTGTGATATAAATAAAATAAAGTTATAGAAAACTGCAATAAAACAAAACATTTGGTTGCACACCATATGCCAGGCACCGAGATCAGCATCAAGCCTATAAAAATAATAAAGTAAAATAATAACAATAATAATTACTAATAAGGCATGGCCCCTTTCCTCAAAGGGCTCCTCATTTGACCAGGCCGACAAATGGCAGAAATTACAACAAAGCATGAGAGGTGCTATAGTCAGGTAGGGGAGAAGTGTGGCAGAAACCCAAGCTTTCCAGAGATGGCCACATGTGAGCTAGGCCTGAAGGAAACAACTGTTTCCAGGCTGGGCTCACACTCATGAAGCTGCACAGCCATTTTGGTTTTCATGAAGGCTTACAGTTCTGAATTCTACTTTAACTAAAAGGTCATAAGGTTTGAAGGATAGGTGTATTTTTGCAACAATAGACTCTAGTGCTCGTCAAAAATTCAATTTTTTAAAAAGCCATGGCTTTTGAAAAGGAAAAAGTTCTCAGTGAAACCACCCTCTAAGTCAGGCAATGATAGTAAGAAATAATCACACAGAAATAAGAATAATAATAAGAAATAATAAAAGAGTAATTGCTAACAGTTAACTGCGGGCTTATAAAATGCCAAATACCCTTCTAGACTCTTTACAGACGTTCTGTCATTTAATACTCATGACAACCGAATGAAATAGGTCCTATTATTATACTCACCCCAAAATGAGGAAATCTAAATTGA